ATTATAAAGCTGGGAGAATGAGGATTTCAAAGTGTATGAGACAAATTTGATTTAAGAACTACCTCGTTCCCCAGGCAATTCAAAAAAACGAATTCAAGTGGTGGAAAAGGAATCCAGTGCTGAACTGGCACTTTGGCAAGCACAGGTGCTTTGGCAGCAACGAAAGCGAAAAGCAGTGTTAAATAACCGACTACACACATCGTTCTGTCCTTAGCAAAAACCAAGCTGTACCGAAAATGGAAACGTTATAAACAACTGCTGATCTTTTTAGTTGCTTTTCTTTCCAGTTACTTCGCAAGTGATTTACGCGTGTAAGATTGGGATACTAAGATAGCCATATAACGATTATTACTGGGAACTATGACAATCTGTTAACAGATTATCGGATTGCAAACGATCCTTATTGCGCCATTTCGTCACTGCGCGAAATCTTGTGCACGCATTTTGATTGAACAGCGCTTCCTTTCAAACAGCCAACGATGGTGGCTCTGAAGGGTAAGCTAGTGGGTTTACGGCCCAACCGTCCGTGACGTCCCACCAAGGTGAGGCGTCTTTGGGTAACCGTGAAACTGCATCCCCGTTTTCAAAACCATGGTAAATTGCTGCATTTCTTTTCTCGGAGTGGCATGATCTATAGCAGCCGCTGTTCTGAAAAGTGCTCTATGTTTGTTAGGCTCGCTGACTTTTGAAATGGCACTGGTCTGATGAAACATCATTTCGGATAGCAAATAACGCAGGATATACGGCTCCATAATGGCAAGTAGGACAATAACCAGAAAAGACATAACGAGAAAACGCTTCTAGAGTAATTAAAGCTTGAGAAAATTTTGATGAGAATACACCTTTGGCTCAGCTGACTTCAACTTTGGAACTACGTTTCTTACATCCAAAAACGGTCCCAACCAACTATGAAAAGTATCAGTGGAATTCTAAAATTCCTTTAGAACATAGCGGTAAATAAGTAAGCTCGTTTTTTACAAATTTTGCTCAAACGCTTATCTTTCCACTCCTCGTGATACAGGCCGTAACAAAGCACCAAAAATTCGGAGGTTTTTGTGTAGGATTTCTGATTTTTATAACTAAACTTCCCATGTTTATTTACAACTTTCTGTTCCAGTATAACACGCTATTAATATTCCTGTTCAAAACTATGCACATTAAAACAAGCAAAAAGGAAGCGGGCAAAATGCTGTTGTTAAAGAAGCATGAGAACCTGAGTGAAAGCCAACTCTGCACTTAGTTTTTGCTGAAAACCATTTGGCAGTTGGATATCTTCACCCAGAAACAATAACGAGATTGAAAAACAGAATCACTACATATACAAAATAATGTACAGCCTATGAAGTGTCATAAAATGTTGATTACCTCCCAGAGAATTACGCACTGCTAGCTCGATCTTATTGGTTGGACCTTTTGAAGAATGCGGGGTACGCAGAGTGCAGACGTGTGTATTTTTTACCTGCAGAGCGAGTAAGACGTAGGCACCTTTAACCTAAAAATTAATTACTGGTTAGATTCGCAGCTGAAAACGTTGCATTTACCAAACTACAACTTCAAGTGGTTAGATGCAAAAAGCAATGTTGTCGGTAACTTCTAATGCTACGATGGGAGAAATGAATGGAGAATTGGACAAAGAGCTACACTTCGTTAAAAAATGGCTATCAATTAAATATATCATACGACGCTGAATTAAAGAGAGGAAGTTGAGCCACCGCTCAAGCCCAGAAAATGCACGTGCAATGAGCTAATCTTTTATACAAAAATTTTGCTGATCTCCCAGACCAGAATCGTTGCAGATTGGCGTCTGTCTATGGCTCTGTGCCACTGTCACCGGTTGGCATATTCAGAGTGATGCTCATGATGTTCACTAATCGCCGGCTCTCCTCTTCTGTGCTCTTCCGCTTACATCAATATCACAGCCTTCAAGAAAGATACATGCCGTGAACAGACCAATGACACCTATGAAATAATATAACTGAGGGGTGCAGCAATGTTCCACCTTCCAGCTAATACGATCCTGTAGTGTTCCTTCAAAACAAACGCCTACGAAATTCGCAGGGAGTGAAAAGTCTTTATGACTAAGAGGGTACAACAAATCTACTTTTAACTTGGCAGCAGTGTGGAGCTGAATTTTGATTAGAAATGCTGCAGGTCTAATTATGTCTTTCTTCTGTTACGCAGTACAAGCAATTTTTTAAAATGATAAAATAAATCATCTTTATGTACTAAAAACATTTAAAAAACTTTCGCTCATACAAAACGTCTTTTCATGATCACCAAATTCAGAAGTGTACCAACAAACATCTCATTTGCAATATTGTTTGACCAGAAGGCTCTATGACGTAGAATTGAAATTCAGTTCGCCGCCTAATCAGTCAGTTTAAACACTCGGTTTTCTTACGACAAAAGCTTTCTTAATACACTCAATCAGAAGAAAGTCTATCAACAGAGAAGAACCGTTATACAAAGCAGACCTTCCTTTTCAAGCAACCAGTATAAAAAAAAAAAGGTGAAAAATAATTGTGTTACCTTTCCAAACTGGAGCAAAAAATTGAAAGAAAATGGTGACTGCTTGGTCAACGTCTTTGACTTTCGCCAACCGAGTTATAGGAAAAATAATTCCTCTTTGAGAATAGAATTGGGAGAATTATACTCCAATTGAAGGTTGCAACCAGCGCGCAGTAGGTAACCGCTTTATTCAGTTGAACATGAAGAAACAGAACCAAGAAAGCTACAACAACAATTGACGCCATGATGCCAATCTACAAAATCCGGCGTCGATCAATATAGACAAAAAAATTACATTGTAAAAATGCATGCTAGCTTAACATTATCAAGGAAAGCTATGTACAAGCGTTCTTTTTAAACAATTTTTAAGATGCAGATAAAGAAATTAGATAATTTTGTATCGTCTTCTATCTCGCTGCTGCGATACGAGTGTAACCAGAAGCAAACTAGCGCTTTTGAAGTTTGTAGCAATCATAAATAAAGAAAAGGAACGCCTATTCATTCACAAAGATGCAGTTGAAATTCTGGCAGATTGATCACAACAATTTTTGAATTTATTCAACCGAATAAACAGTAAAGAAGTTTTTTTTTATTGTATCAAGGTTGAATTATGTTAACAAATGTTAACACAAACCAATTTGTCAGTTAACAAATGTTCAAAATAAAATTGCAATTTATGGCTTAAGAAAAGGTGAAATAAAGCAAGAAAAAGGAAAAAATTTAATTATTCGTTTTTAATTAGCTCAGACAGTATAAAACAAATTTCTTCTGCTTTTTTTTCTAAATCGGTGTTTGGTATTATTTGTGCTAAAACATCTGTCGTGCTAAAGTTTGACAAAAAAAGGAACTGTAATTTTTTAGTTTTTTACAAAAATGATTGATTTATTTTTTTCACCAATTTGACTTTGATTTGTTTTATTGAAAAACTTGTCGATTTTGGCGAATGATTAATACTGTGTCCATAAACACATTGAAATTCTTCAGTATATCGGCCATTGATATTCGTAGGCACAACTAACGTGGGTGGTCATCTCCAATCTAAGCATCTACGGTATGTGCCGTACACTGCGCAATTAGCTTTTCTAAGCAATTCGGGTCTGCTGTCCAAACCATAGCCTATTCGATGCCAATTAACAATGTACTTTTATTGCTGTTCTGATTTATTTACTGCTAACTGGTAGGTTATTTAGTTTCAGAAGTAACTACAGAAGTATTGGAGCAGCAGAAAACTAGATGAAAATTATCACAACAACTGGAGAGATCAATGAAGGGAATACAAAAATTGCTAATATATATACCGTTGAAGGAACATCCGGTTGTTAATTTTTTTATACTTATTAGCAATTAATAATCATATGCAAATGATTTTCGCTGGAATCATTTCGAATAAAATATCGTCGCCAAAATTTTAGATCATCTGAAAATTTATGGATTATTAAGTATAAGCAAGAAAAAAAGTCAAAAAAAAAGTGAAAAAATAATTGAAAGTTTGAAGCGTAAATGCTGAGTAAAAAAAGTTTTTTTTGTCATACATTAAAAAAGTCCAAAATTTTTCTTACTGAAACTGTATCCACGTAGATGATATATGAAAAATGATGCAGCTGCAAAGACCAAAATAATTGTTATTACAGTTAATCGGATATGCACCTCACGATGATTGTCTGGTAAAGCACGAAATTCATTACCTCTGTAAAACAGTAATCATACTAATTGCTTTAATCTTTGTCAGTCTTTGCTAATATCTGTGCAAGTAAAAAAAAAAAGCAAAATATACTATGAATTTTCAGTTCCTTATTAATCGGAAAGAAAAAAGAAAAAAATTTGAACTAACAGTTCTTTGTCCATTTGTAGCGTATGGCAGCGTTAACGATAGTTATAGAAAAATATATTTGTATAAACATAATAAAAAGTGTTTACTGTAATTGACGTAATTTAGTTTTTTTTTTTTTTGTTTTTTTGAATATTATACTTTTTACAAATGGATAACAATAATTTCAACCCACAAATGCTGTAAAAACAAAAGCCGTCTTTCTTCTTTTATCAGCACAACAATAGTTTTACTGAGAAGTTGGAATCAGCAAGTTTTACTGTTCACACTGCTAAATACCATTCGACATTTACCACTTTGCTTCACCAATTTTTATCATATTTCCGACATTGAACCAACAATTATATATGTAAATACATATACAGGCCATTCCATGTCAAAATCGCACATTTTCTTCCCTTTATATTTCAGATTTTTTTTTTTT